CGCGGGTCCCCGGCCGCGCTGTCACTCCGCCACCGGCGGCGGCTCCGGGCGCTGCCGGCGGGGCCGCGCGGGACGGGGCGCAGCGAGCGGTGAGCGGGGCACCGGGATCGGGGCGTGGGGCACTTCCCCGAGGGAGCGGGGAGACTCGGGAGACTTCCCCCGAGGGAGCGGGGAGCCGCTGGGAGCGGGGGTGATGGGGACATCCTGCGTGGCCCTGGAAGGCAGGGACACCCCTGGAGACCGGCTCTGGTGCGGAACACCCCGACAGGGACTGGCGGTGACATTCGGGGACACACCGGCTCGGTCATCCTGCGGGGATCGGCGTTGACAGAGGGGACAGCGGGTGGTGATGGGGGACACCCCATCGGGACTGGCTGGCCACGGGGAGGGCGGCAGTGGCGGGGAACACCCTGCTGAGGACCGAGGTGGTGGGGTCATGCTGCGGGGAACAGCGGTGACACGAGAGATGCTGGCAGGGGCCGGAGAGCCTGACACTCGGGGCAGCCCCCGCGTCCCCTCTCCTGTGCCCCACGATGTCCCCCCCTCTCCGCAGAGACCCTTTTTCAGCAGTAGGAGCTGCAGCGTGACCGGGCTAGCAAATTCCTGTGTGCCAGTGCCTTCGGTGTCCCTGGACACCCCCAATTCCTGTCCCCGGCAGGGGAGGACTGCAGGAGGACGCTGTGGTGCCTCCCCAGTTCAGTCCTGGGGAGCACAAAATGGCCAGCAAAGGGTGACGGGGGAAACTGAAGCACGGGGACTGTCCAAAACGTGTGTCCTGCTGCCCCACATCTCCTTTCCACAGGCAGAGCAGGTCGGTGCTGGCAGATGATGATGTCTGCCCTCATTTTTGACTGGAAAGGTGCTTCTGGGCTGTAGGCATCCATGGGTGCTTCCCATGGGGATCCTGCATCACCTGGGGTGAAGGAGTCATCCCCACACTCCTTGGAGCTGGGAATGTTGCAACCAAACCGGGATGGCACAGGACAGAGGGAAAACTTTGAGATGACTTCATCTCAGGCTGTGCCCCTTGAGACACGGAGGTGCCGTCAGCCTGTGCGAGGGAAGCAGTGAAGAGCCGAGTGCCGGGACGACTCTTTTCCCGGATTTCACCTAGGAAAAAAACAACTGGGAGGGGAGCCAGGGAGTCTGGGTGTGCCGGGATGCCAGGCCCGCAGCCGGCCCTGCTGCATACCCGCGACTGCCCAGAGAGGGCGAGACCCCGTGCAGGCAGGGCTTGCCCATGAGTTTTTGGGGTGCTGTCTAGGTTCCCCGAGGCTTTGCCATAGCTGCCGTGCCATTATCCCCGGTGCCAGAGAGGGTCCATGTGCTCCCAAGGGGGTGACAGGGATGGGGGAGCTCCCTGCACACCGCAGCAGCGTGTGTTGGTGTCTGTGTTGTTGGAAGGAGGGGCTGGACCCCCCCTGTTGCACAGCCGGGGGAGCTGAGTCAGGAAATCCCGGCTGGCCCGGCCGGATCCCGGCTGAGTCATTTGGCGGCGCTGAGTAAGTGCCCGTGCCGGGCTGCGGGGCTGCCGCGCCTCGGGGGGGCAGGGGCTGCCCGCACATGCTGCCCCTGGCCCTGGCCTCGGGACACTGCCAGCCCTGCCAGCCCCCTGCCTCCGTTTCCCCCCGACGTTTTCCTAGGGCTGGATGAGGCAGAAGGCTCCTGGGACGTGGACATGTCACACACAACGGCACGGGAACTGGCTCTGAGAGGCCAGGGAGAGGGGAGACAGGTTGGGATGGGGTCTGTGGGGCTGGGTGAGCTCTGAGGCTCACTGGGAGGAGAATGGTGTCCCCAAGGCAGGATTTGGGATCCCCCTTCCAGTAAAGGGGGTCTCCAGTCTTGGTGTGTTGGGAGGGGGGTGGCATTGAGGAGATGAATGGGGATGAAGAAGGGATGAGGATGAGAACTGGGATGGGAAATAAGATTAGAATGGGGACAGGGACAGGGATAGGGAAGGGGTGGGGATGAGATGAGATATGAGGTGAGATGAGATGATGAGATGAGATGAGATGAGATGTGTTGGGGGTGGGATGAGGCTAGGGATGGGGTGGGGATAAGGACAGGATGGGATGAGATGGGGGTGAGAACGGGAATAAGATGGGGACAGGGATGAGGCTGACAGGGCTGGAGCAGAGCTTGGGGTGCATGTGGGGACGTGGAGGGAATCAGGCTGGCCTCACTGGTAGCAGGATGTAAATAACCTGCCAGGACACGAGGTTTTTTCCTGCTGCTCCCCCCCCATGCAGCCCCACGGACAGGAAAAAGGTGTTTCCTGCTGCGGATGGGAGCGGGGCCCCAGGCCTGGAGCGGGATGTGGGGCCTGGGCCACGGACAGGGGGATCAGGTGACCCCCTCGGGCTGGATTTTGGGGTGCAGCCTCTGATCCCGTGTCTGGTGGGACCCCTGACCTTAGTGGAGCCACTGCAGCCCTCTGGGCCCTGGCTGGGCTGGTGGCAGGAGCCCTCAGTGCAGGCTGGCACCACTGTGGGAACAGGACGTGGTGCCACCAGGCTGGGGCACCCTGTCCTGTCCCCAGTGCCACCAGCTGGGGCACCCACCAGGTGAGAACCCTGGGGACATGTTCCTCTTTTCTGGCTGGAGCAGGATCCGTGTGGAGCTGGCACTGTGTGTCCCCTTGCCCATGACCCGAGCAGAGCCATTCCTGCTCACTGACCAAGCAGGATGTCCCCTCACCTGCATGCGCTCCCTGGGGAGGTCTGGAATGCTCCTCCACCTGGAGCCTGGTCACCAGCCTGGGCTGGGGACATCAGTCTGGAATAGGGACACCAGTATGTGATTGGGACACCAGTATGGGATTGGGACATCAGTATTGGATGGAAGTCTTCAGCATTTGTTCCCACCATCCTGTGACCCCCCTGCCCCCCTTCGCCTTGCTGCTGGCAAATGGTGACAGTCCTCCCTCACCTGTCTGGGGCATCCATTTAGTGGCAGTCAGAGCAGAGACAGTACCCTCTGAGTACCCTCTGTCCTCCCACAGCCCTTTGTGCCCTGTGCAGTCAGAAAAACAGCAGTGACAGGGAAGGAGCAGTTGGAACCACACTGCCTCTGCCCTGTGTGTCCCCAGGATGTCTCATCTCATGTCACTGGCCTGTCCTGGCTGGGCAGGATCGGTCCCCAAGCCTTAACTAAGCTCCTAACCAAGGAGTGCCAGTGCCAGGAGTGCTGTGCAGGGAGCCAGGACCTGCTGGGCCAGTCAGTGGCACTGGTGGTGACGAGGCTGGTGGCAGTGCATGGGGAAACTGAGGCACAGGCTGCAGGCAGGTGGCACATTGCCAACACCTCTGGGAACTCCTTGAATGCTCCACGTGACAGATCAGCCACTAACCTGTCCCAGCAGGCTCTGGTGGCTTCCCTGGCGCATTTGCTGGCACAGTCTGAGTCTTGCTCATTAGCAAGTGACCTGTAATGAGCTTTGCTGAGTTGTGCTGCAGGGTCTGGGCAGTGCTATGGCCATCAGGCACTGCTGTGGATTGAGTGCCTGGATCAGGAGACACTTGTTGGGAGAGGGGCTGGAGGTTGCCCTGGCATGTGGCACCCACAGTCACCATCACAGGAAGTGGCAATAATTGGGGGGAGCAAGATTTTCATTGACCAGGGTGGGGGGAGGTCCTGGATGAGTGGCCCAGGGAGGGTTTGAAGCTCTGCTCTGTCCCCGGGGGTCGTGGTGGGGTAGGAGCTGGGGTGAGACTGTCTCTGGCTTGGACTTGGTCCCCCTGCACTTCTCTGAGCTTGTCTGGTCAATGCCCCATCCCGGCCCCAAATCACCTGTGGCACCATCGCTGCCCTCGGGGCTTTTATGAGGGGCTCCGGATCACCCCATCTCGGTGCCGGGCTGCCGGGAGTTTCATTGTCGCACATCTGCAAGTTCCCTTCCAGGAGCGCTCATCTCCGGCGCCGGTGCCACCCTGCCCCCTGCCCCGCTGCCACCCTGCCGGGATGGGAGCGCCCCGAGGCATCGCATGCGGAGGGAACGGGAGGGGACAAGCCACCGTGGCCCGGGCCGGCCGGGGCAGTGGGACTGCTGTCCTGGCATCCTCTCGCCGCCGGAGTGGGGCCATGGGGCTCCGGAGGTCTCAGCTGTGCTGCGGGGAGCGCGTTTGGAGCGGGAGCCGGCGCTCGAGTTAACGCCTCCCACTGTTTGCCTGACTTCCCTGGATTCCCTGCTCCCATGGAGGAGCGGAGGTGGAAGCTGGGGGAGCTGGGTTTGTGCTCCTTCTCCCTTCTCGTCCTCAGACCGCATTCGAGGCCCGTGCGGATGCGGCCGGGCGGCGCCGCCTCCGGCAGCGGAAACTCCCCCTGAGCGGGGCAGGGCGTTCAGTCACGACTTCTCCTCCACCCCTGCTCCCCCGCCTTTTCTTCTCCTCGCCCCTCTGGGGTCTGCAACCCCTCCTCGCTCCCTGCCGGGACCTCCGTACCTGGGGATGTGCAGTGTGGAGTGGAGGCAGGAGTGCAGCCATCCTGGCGTGGGCTGCTCGCTGCGGGCAGGCAGGATGCCAAAGGGATGATTGAGGGATGCTGGAGGGATGCTTGAGAGATGCTGGGGCTCCCTTCTAGGAAACTCAGGCAACCTTCAGATGTGATGGCCTCATGCTGGCTCTGTTGGCTGCATCCTTTGGAGGGAAGAGGTTTAATTTTAGGTGTAAGAGGGTCGTGGAACTAGAGCTGTGCTGGTCTGGTGAGGGGTACTGGGGCCAGGCATTGCCAGCCCCTGCCAACCTCTTCCAGCCTCATCTATTAAATGACAGTACTCGGCTCCCTTGGGATGTTGGCATCATGAACGCACTTGGAGTTCTTCTGATAAACCCTGGGGATGTGGATCCCTCTGGAGTGGTGACTGTTGTAACACACACACACACACACACCCGCCCCCGGAGCGGGCAGGGAAGTGTTTGCCAGCAGTCACTGTGGATTTACAGCTTACTGGAAAATCCACTCATCCCATTAAGGGCTCCCTGTGGCTTTTGCTTTCCATTGCAAATACCTGGTTATCCCTAGGGAAACCCCCTTTGGTGCCAGTGGGTGTGTGGAGCTCTCGGGGCAAACCCCACAGAAGAGTCCAGGC